AGGGTTGCCAAACACCTTGATAAGCATACTTTAATTGTCCTTGGTAGGTAAGTTCGGCAGAGCGCTTAGCACAACTAATAACTCGGAACAAATTAAGGTATGCAAAGTTGAATACCCCTTGGAATATTGTATGCAATTCGACTTAACTTTCAGTAAAATAGTTGCAGATGCTAATTTCAAATAACAGACTGTAGTGGTAATTTTTATACGATAGATGGAGTAGATGAAAGCATAGAGTTGATAGTTCCGTTAGATTACGGCAGTGTGAAGATTGTAGATAGATATTAGAAAAGCGAGCTAGGACAACTTTTAAGGAAGGTACAAATCGGTTTTTTCATCTCTCTTTACCAAACTCCCCCTTTGGAGAGGGATGGTGAGGGGTGTGTGTCCCCCGCCACCACTGGCAAAAAGAGATGAAAACCGACCCGCTCATGTACCAACTGTGTGTTTGAAACAGTTCTACCGATTTTTTACCGCACTTCAGTTGTTATTTGAAGGAAGGCATCCAGTCGTAGGTTTGGAAATTGCAACTATTGTTTACCCCTACCACGATATGTGCTCCTGTCATCGTCGACTTGACGATCTCGAGGGTACACGGGTGGGGTAGGTGCTGCTACTGTACCTTTCGACCATTGACAGTAATTGATGGTATGCTCCCATCCAGAGTTATGTACTTTGACTATATGTTTTTTAGGACACCGCTCACCATCCCTCTCCAAAGGGGGAGTTTGGTAAAGAGAGATGAAAAAACCGATTTGTACCTTCCTTAAAAGTTGTCATAGCTCGCTTGTCTAATATCTATATACAATCTTCACACTGCCGTACTCTAACGGAACTATCAACTCTATGCTTTCATCTACTCCATCTATCGTATAAAAATTACCACTACAGTCTGTTATTTGAAATTAGCATCTTCAACTATGTTAATCGTTGACTTCACGTAGAAGTAATACTAAAAAACATATAGTCAAAGTTTCAGTAAAAGTTTTGTGTTAAAACCCAGCCGATGGCTGAAAGTCTCTTTAATAAAGAAAGATAAAGAAAGATGTGTTAAAACTTATTGAAACATTACGGAGTTGAAAAAAAAACAATATCCAGATAAAGGTTTTCGTTATTACAGACATACAAAAAATAAAATTCTAGAAAATTGTGATAATTACTTCATTAAGAAAATCTTCAGCCGGAAACAGATTCGCCTCTCACAACTCACAACACAACAAATGTTTTGTATTTTCAATCTGTAGAAAAGATATTCATCACATAAAAAAAATTGTAGGATTTCGAGATTTTTCAAATCGAAAAATTCTTTAGAAAGCAAACATTAGTAATTTTTCAAGATTCTAAACTTTGAACAAAGCCCTTCTGAACTATGTATTATCTCAATGGAGAGTTGCGTAAAGCTGCACTAAGACCATAATAAAGAAATTTTACAGATTTGCTTACAGATTTTTGTCAGTCAGATACAGATTAAAAAGATTTTTTGCGATGAAAATACAGATTGAAAATCTAAAAAATGTGGCATCACTGCGCACGGAGTGTACCGCTCATTGTGTGGATCGCTTTCTCACAGATTAGTTGGAAGAGAGTGTGCGAAGTAAATGGGAGAACTACACACTCTTTGTCGAGTGTTGTGAGATGCATGCACAAAGTTGCTTTACTAACGCTCTGAGTTGCTTTCCAGCCCCGCCCACGCGGAATAACCCGCCACTGTCACCACGTATCGAAGGAGGTTAGCCGATTACCCAACAGCAATTAAAGATTTCAATCCCGCAAATACCCCTCATAACGTGATTTAGAAATACGCGAGCCCCTGTTTGAGATTAAGGACTTAATTAAGCAGATAACCAGGATTTAAGATTTTGAACCCCCAAATACCCCTCAAATCGTGATTTAGGCCTTAATTAAGGAGACAAAAACAAATAAAGAATCGCGATCTAGGCCTTAATTAAGGCGATTTCTAATTCCCAAAACGCCTCAAATCGCGATTTAGGTCTTAATTAAAGAGATAAACGCGATTAAAGATTTCAATCCTCCAAACGCCCCTCAAATCGCAATTTAGGCCTTAATTAAAGAGATTAATATGTGTTGTACCTGGGGGCTGGTTCTTCCTCCTTGGATGGAATTTTGGGAATTTTGAGGATCCATTCTATACGGTCTGGGAGAACCGATTCCTTGGGATTTCTTCCGGCGTAATGAACCTTTAATTCCGCCTTCTCTTGCACGACACAAATCACTTTTATTCAAGTATACAGTTAATTAAACATTGAAAAACAGTTAATTTTAAACACTACACTACACATCTAACATTTATTTTAAAACCAAATAAAACTACATCACAAATTCGGTCCCGTGGCCATCTATCGACCTATCTATCTGGAGTCTTTCTGTCTTCTCTATAATTAATATTGTATTTACCCTTAGACTATAGACCTATATAAAGTGCATATTTTCTCCCTTTTTACATTCTCTTCTGCTCGGTGGCTGTAGTTGTGCTATCTCGCTGACAATTATGATGGTTGATGGATCTCGCATACAGTGGCAGCACAACATGTTCCACAGATCTATGCAGCATCGATCAAGGGGACCGCTGATGGTAATTTCCGATCGTAGTACACTCCTAGACAATATGATTACAGACTTACAGACAGAACCCCCAGACATCCCCAAATCGGGATTTAGGCTTTAATTAAGGAGATAAACGCGATTACAGATTTTCAACCAACCCCCCAGCACCGATCAAATCGCGATTTAGGCTTTTTTTAAGGAGGTAAACACGATTAGAGATGTCAAGCCCTGACACACCCCTCAAATGCGATTTTGCCCTTAATTTAGGAGCTAAACGCGATTACAAATTTCGAACTACCAAGAAAACCCCCCCCCCCTCCCCAATCGAGATTTAAGCGTTCATAAAGGAGGTAAAATCGATTAAAAATTTCGGAAATAAATGCGAATAACGACTGCGAGCTGCCAAACTACCTCAAATCGCGATTTAGGCCTTAGTTAAACGCGATTACAGATTTCGAACCTCAAAACATCCCTTGAATCGCGATTTAAGCCTTATTTAAGGAAATTCGCTCGATTATAGATTTTGATCCCAACACCTCGATTTAGACCTTAATTAGTATTTAATGCGATTAAATATGTCGAACCCCCGAACACCCCTCAAGTCTCGATTTAGGCTTTAATTTAGTAAACGCGATTACAAATTTCGAATCCCCAAACATCTCCCATATCACGATTTAACCCCCGAACACCCCTTGTTCGGGTACCAAACCAAAATTTTTGTAGCAGCCTCTTTTTTGTGGCAGCTCAAACTGTAATATTATGATTTTATTAGAAAATTAAATTCCATAAATTTGATTCAGAACTTACAAGAAGTGGCCTAATTCTGATTTTGTGCGCTACACAACCTTTTCCTCGTTCTAGCTCTTCCTTCTAATTACCACGACTTCTCCCGTTCAAATCGTCGCTAGCTTTCCTATACGCCTGTTCCACTAATTAATTATTTTATGTTATTTTTTTTCTTTTCGAGGTAACTGCTAGAACTACTTACAATTTAATCAGCTTCAACAAAAGAAAATTATAATTTCTTTCTATGTTCAGGTCACCGACGGGAAACCAGATGCACAGTATAGACGAACTTTATGATCCGAAATATTCCTTGATAAATTCCTCTATAATTTCACTCTATCTGCTAACAATTTCTATCTGCTAACAATATCCATTTATAAATTGTGTTTGGTTTGTTTTGGTTTTGTTTTTCTCTTCCCTTTCTTCACTTCTGACAACGGTACGAAACGGCAATAACATTAGGTACGCCAACCGCAGCTACGCACACCGTTGTGTTGGGTTTGCTGCCCTGCGGTGTTGACATACCCCAGCCCGTAACATCCGGTAGTTCCTCCGGAAGTCACGGATTTACTTTCAGACCTCCATCAACGCTAAGTTCGCTACAGCACGCCGGTAGACTCCTCTAGCCGTCCGCACTATCGCTTGCCTCACTCTTCCGTCTGGTCCTCGGAGTATCTCTTCGAGGATCCCTCGGATCCAGCTTTTCCGGGTTTTTCCATCCACTATGAAGACCAGGTCGTTCACCTGTAGCGGCTTCTGCTCCTCGAACCACTTCGTCCGTCTGTTGATTGTCGGCAAGTATTCCTTGCACCATCTTTCTCACATTCGGTTCGCCAGGTATTGAGAACGCTTGTAAGTATCTCGTAGAGCCTCCGCAATGTCCACTGGCTGGACCACCAAATCCACACTTGTCACCGGCCCACGAAGGAAATGGTTCGGGGTAATCGCTTCTTCCTCAGCTGATTCCTGCGGTATGTACGTTAGCGGCCGGGCGTTAATCATGTCCTCTGCTTCAGCTAGTGTTGTGTGCAGAACCTCGTCGGACAATGTTCGCCCATCGTCCAGCGCCTTCATCGCCTCCTTTACCGACCTCACCATCCGCTCCCAGATGCCGCCCATGTGCGGCGCAGCCGGTGGATTGAAGTGCCACGCGGTATTATCGTTCGTTATGCTGGTCGCACAGTCGCTGTTGATCTTCTTCAACTCGTTATCGGCACCTACGAAACACGTCGCGTTGTCCGAGAAAATTTCCTGTGGTACGCCTTGCTTACAGCTGAACCTTCGAAGGGCCATCAAGCAGGATTGCGTTGAGAGACTACGCACCACTTCTAGGTGTACCGCTCGTACAGCCAAACAAGTGAATACCGCGACCCATCGTTTCTCCTTTCTTCGTCCCAAAGTCACTTCTATCGGACCTAGATAGTCGATACCCACCGAGTTGAACGGTCGCAGATAGGGTGTGACTCGCTGTATCGGAAGCGGTGCCATCCTGGGAACATGCGGCTGACAGCGATGGACTTTACACCACACGCAATTGCTCATCACTTGACGGTTTGCAGCTCGGGTGTTCGGAATCCAGAACCTTTGGCGAAGCTCGTTCATCACCGTCTCTCGATTGGCGTGTCCATACTTCTCGTGGTAGAACTGGATCAGCTTTTCCGTCGTCGCGTGCTTTCTTGGCAGAATTATTGGACACTTTTTGTCGAAAGGTATGTCGACGGACATATTCATTCTACCACCCAACCGCAGCACACCTTCTTTGTCCAGAATCGGAGGCAATTTGTACAGGCAACTGCTCTTCTTCACCGTTTCCATTACTGCATCTGGTTGTTGTTCCAGATTCTTGGTGAGGATGCTCATCTCATCTGGGAATCCTTCGAACTGTGCTTGCTTCCTCAGGATGATCTGCGCAGTTCGAAACTCATCTCTCTCGAGCGGACGTTCTATCGATTGCATCGGTACCAGGATTTGATGTTGCGGGTTATCTGTTGCCTTCAAGGTGACTATCGGCAGCCCTGCTACCTTGCGTTTGCAATTGTCGATGAACCTGACCGCACACGCCATCACCCTTTGCAGCGTTGTCCATCTCGAGCATCGGTCTACTTCAACCACGCCATGGAATGTCACGTGGCCCCTGGCTTCCTCGTACGTCTCTTCGATCGTTACCTCCATAGTCGGCCACTGGTCTTCGGGCTGGTGCAGGAACGGTGCACCCGTGAACCATACCCCATCGCTTTCCAGATCGTTACCCCGATGCCATTTCGTCAGGACGTCCGCCATATTCTGCTTCGTTGGAACCCATCGCCAATCCGTCGCTCGTGTCAACTCCAGTATTTCTCCGATCCTGAACGCAACAAACTGTTTGTATTTATGTTGGTCAGACCGGATCCAACTCCAAACCGTTCGTGAATCTGTCCACAGTACGCATCGATCGATTTTCAGTGAATGCGTAGCGATCATCGTTTGACCCATCCGCGCTCCAAGTACAGCCGCCATCAACTCCAGTCGCGGGATTGACTGGCACTTCAACGGTGCCACTTTCGATCGAGACATAGCTAGAATACACCGCACAGCTCCGTCGATGACTACTCGCAGATACGCAACACAGCCGTATGCGTGTTCGCTGGCATCCGTGAAGATGTGAATTTCAATTGACTCAACCGCAGACGACAAGGAATCTCCAAGATAGCAACGTGCAATCCAAATGTTCTCGACTTCCGGCAGTACAGCAATCCAGCGCTTCCACATTTCCCAGCAATCGTCGTTAATCGCGTCGTCCCAATCGCAGCCACTACGCCATAAGTGCTGCACGCTGATCTTTCCGTGGATCGTGAACGGAGAAAGTAAACCAAGCGGATCGAAGAAGCACATGACGCAGCTTAACACCGCACGTTTCGTTGGCCGTTTGTCTCCGCATAGGTACCGTGCCGATTCAAATTTCGGACACTTAAACTCGAATTTCGGACACTTTTAAAAGTTGATTATCTCGGTCGAATATGATCCACATGTCTTGTAAATTTTAAATTTTTTTGACTAGTGCCCTCCACGATCATTTAACATTATTACTTTGTTTCTAACTGGATGTAATATTTAATTAAAAATGAAAGTGTCCGAAATTTGAATCGTCCGAAATTTGAATCGGAACGGTACGGAAGATGCTCTTGGCGATGTTGGGTAGAGAAAGATAATTCATCACGATCCGGATCCCAGATCATACCTAGCACGCGTTCGTGTGACGTTACTTTGTCTTCGGTGATGTGGACGGCTGAAACCGGTTTCTGCTCACCGAGGCTCTGGAGTACTTCGTTCTCCAACGCCGGATTGACGTTTCTCAGCTTCGTTGTGGTTGAACACCACACCCTTCTCCTTCGCTTTGCTTTGGGCATTCCCCGAACGGTTGTCGCTGCTAAACTTTCCGGTTGACATGTAGTGCATGCTGACGTTCGCTTCGCAGGCCTTCGAGACTATTTCGGAGAGGGTTACTTTCTTTTTCCCGCGCTTGAAGCGCACCCACTCGCGCTTGTCGTTATCTGGGAGCTTTTCAACCAGATCTTGAATTAGCAGCGGATTTATCAGGTGCTGTTTGAGTTCCGCCGCCTCCAAGTGTTCGCACAGCTGCTCGACTGCCGTGCCGAACGGAATGAAACTGGCCAGCTTACCCACTTTCGGTGGTTCCAGCTTATGGACCTTCTCCAAATGGCTCTGCAGTAGCTGTTCTGGGCGGCCGTATAACTGGCGAAGTTTTCCAATAACCTTCGGAACCGATTTCGGCAGAAGAAGTTGTCCACGCACCATCTCCAGAGCCGGACCCTTCAGGCATTCTTGCAGCCGCACCAGGTTTTCAATGTCCGAGTAACCGCAGGCTTCATTCGATGTTTGGTACATTCCGTAGAACAACGGCCATTCTTCCGGCTTTCCAGAGAATGTGGGTAGTCTTTTACTTACAGTTGAATTCTGGTCGGCCCGGATCGTGCCTGCCCCAGCCCGTGTTGGCTCAATCTACCGGACTTTTTCGTTGACTTGCTGTTCGTCGTAATTACACTTTTCTCCGAAACACCATCGGATTCTTCGCCGGATTCGGTTTGATCATCCTCCATTTCATCAGCTGTCTCATCTTCATCGTCTTCATCCGAATTTTCGTATCGAGCAGCTCTCAACTTCTTCAAATTCTGCTCCGTCAATTTTCTGATCTTCGAATGGCGCAGTTTTGGCTTTACTCCTGAAGTACCTTCGCCGGCATCGACGTCCTTTGTTGCTCTCTTCTTTTCGGTGTTCTTCGTCTCCGACATAGCTTCATCCAGTTCCTTCATTTTGTCCGCGAACGACTGCTGCCCAGCTTTCATCCGGTTCAACTGCTCTTTTTGCTGCTTCAATATCTCCTCCTGGAACAGCTTTTCTTCTTCTTCCTCTTCGCGTAACTGCTTCTCCAACAGCATCCGCTTCATCTCAATGGATCGCTTGAACTCCATCTCGTTCTTTTTAATCTTCATCTCCATTTCCAGCTCTTGCTCCATCCGTTTTTGTTTCTCCTCCATCGCATTCAATTTATGCTCTAGAGCGAGCGCACGGTCGGATTTGACGCTGGAGCGATCCGAATCATCGTTATTTTGCTTGCTGCGACTCTACTTCTTCTTGATCCGTTGACATGGTTCTTCGGTACAGTACCACGTACCTTCCTTCTTCGCATCAGTAATCCCGACGCAACGGATATGGTACCAACGTTGGCAACCATCACAACCGATCATTTCCTCATTTTCGGTCGAAACTTCATCGCACGACGCACAAGGAGTCTCCGTGAGGTTCAGAACGGGTGGAGCAGGATTGGCCATAGCGCTTTGAGGTTTATCCGATTCTCGTACACTTCTTTTTGAGAATGTTCGGATACCAAACCAAAACTTTTGTAGCAGCCTCTTTTTTGTGGCAGCTCAAACTGTAATATTATGATTTTATTAGAAAATTAAATTCGATAAATTTGATGCAGAACTTAGAAGAAGTGGTCTAATTCTGATTTTGTGCGCTACCGAACCGTTTCCTCGTTCTAGCTCTTCCTTCTAATTACCACGAATTCTCCCGTTCAAATCGTCGCTAGCTTAGCCTGTTCCACTAATTAATTATTTTATGTAAATTTTTTTCTTTTCCAGGTAACTGCTAGAACTACTTACAATTTAATCAGCTTCAACAAAAGAAAATTATAATTTCCTTCTATGTTCAGATCGCCGACGGGAAACCAGATGCACAGTATAGACAACCTTTATGATCCGAAATATTCCTTGATAAATTCCTCTATAATTTCACTCTATCTGCTAACAATTTCTATCTGCTACAATATCCATTTATAAATTGTGTTTGGTTTGTTTTGGTTTTGTTTTTCTCTTCCCTTTCTTCATTTCTGACAACGGTACGAAACGGAAATAACATTAGGTACGCCAACCGCAGCTACACACACCGTTGTGTTGGGTTTGCTGCCCTGCGGTGTTGACACCCCTCAAATCGCGATTTAGGCCTTAATTAAGGAAACAAACGCGATTAAAGATTTCGAACCCCCAAATACTCCACAAATCGTTATTTAGGCTTTAATTAAGCTTAGCTTAGATTGACTGCATATATTAATGGTTGCTACCCCGAGATTAATCCAAACCAGTTAAATTGCAAGGGAAGGGAAGTAAAGCCGTTGGTCCCCGGTTCATGAGTTTATGGGTCGATAGGTATGGTCCAGGTGTGGGAGCTGCCTCCCTGGCGTCGGTAGCATTGGTTCTCAGCACAGAAAACAAGATCGACGAAAAACAAATCAGGGAATTCTTAATCTGCACGATAATTTGATATGAATAACGATTCTACCATTTAATTTTCACAATACCTTAGCTGGAACTTTCATCACCAATCCCAATCGCACACTCCGATCATCCAAAAGCCAATCTCAAAAACTCACAATTCACCACAATTCCAGCCACACAATCGATTTCATCCCTTAGCTCAGTCGGTAAAGGCGCAGCTTCAATGCTAGACCATGCTGGAGGTGGCTAGGTTCGATTCCCAGTCCAGTCTAGGAATTTTTCGGATTGGAAATTAATTCTCGACTTCCCTGGGCATATAGTAGGGTAGAGAACTATTTCGGCCTAATCACCCATTTTGGGCCTATTGAGCATAAAACATCAAATAATTCCATGATTACGGCGTTAACAAGTCAATTGTGCGCTTGGTACGATACTTTAGCTCAAAAGCTACCAAACAAAGTCAATAAGAACGCGTGATATGAATTTTTGTATCCATTATTCTCAAAAACAAAAGAAGAGCTATGACCGAACCAATTTTTATCTTCATCCGATAGGCCGAAGTGAATTCCTTGGCGTTTCAATGGCAGTTTCAATGCGTTAGGCCGAGTTAAGAATCCGTAGGCCGAGTTTGGGGTTCAGAAGCAGTGTTAAATTTTTAACAATATCTCAACAATTTGTTACGCTTTATCAAACCTTACGGTACGTACGGAAAGGTAAATGCATTTAAAAGTCATCTGCACTGAAAACATTCTATTTTATATAAAAAAAATCCGCTTGAAAAATAGAGGCAAATGAAGGGATGTGCTTAGTACGACCAAAATTAGATCTAAGCCCTATGATTGTACTTGCCACACAATTATACTAATGCAAAAATGGTATAGGCATCGAAAATTCTCCATGAGCGGCGCTTGTGGTGTAGTAGTAAGCGTGATTGCCGCTCACCCCAGCAGGCCTGGGTTCAATCCCAATTGGCGCCGCCGGGATATTCTGAGGCATAAAAGCCGTTGGTCCCCGGTTCATGAATTGATGGTTCGATGGGTAGGGTTCAGGTGTGGGAGCTGCCTCCCTGGCGTCGGTAGCATTGGAGCTCAACACGGAAAACAAGATCGACGGAAAACAAACCAAGGATAAAAAAAAGAAACCTCTCCATGAATAACTGTAGAAGTGCATCTAGAATACTAAGTTGAGAGTACGCAATAAGCTAATATGCGATAAGCAATAATGTTGAAATGGGCAGAAAAAGAAGAACAATCGATTTCAGAATGTGACCCCACAGTATAGGAAAGACAGACGTAGCCCTACGTCAAAATTAAGTCGATGGAGAGAATCGATCAAGGTTACTTAGGACCTTATGCATCTTAGAAACCCGGCTGACATTTTTCATTTTTATAATTTTTTTTCCATTGGATGGTAATACAGTGTATTGCAAAATTGAGTGTACACTTCAATGGAATTTTTCTTAAAATGACTCTTACACACTCAACCAAATCAGCGCAATATTATATCGATAGCCAAAAATGTTCGATGAGCTACACACTTAGAAAAATTGATGTAAATTTAGGTTCTCTGAAACTGACATATACGAGCGTCAATTTTGACATAAAATTTAGTCATAATTGACGCTAAATTCAGCTCAATCAAAGTTTTCAGTATCGGAGCACTTAATTTTACATGACATATTTATTAACGTCTCATCCTTTATGTAAAAGATGGATTCCGTCACGAGTAAGATTAGGTATTTCGAACTGTGACAACTGGTCACTTCACTTCGTTTTCACCGTGAAGTGACACCCGTAATAAGGGCCACTGTTAAATTTGCCGATCTATTTTAGTATGTTCGGATAACCATTATCGGTGGCTGCATCAATACAAATACCCAGTTTTGCACGTATCCAATGTATTTTCTTGCAATTGTTATTTAAAAAAAATAACCGTAATAGTAGGGATATTAAATCTAATAAATAGTCATTCTTTCATCGTTTGTTGTGTATCATTTTCCTGACAGTATGAAAATGGTTCGTTGAAATAAAAAAAAGGAGACTTTCTGACAAATTTCTCACAATAGTCCGATCAGCATTGGCTTCCGTTTGGTGAAGATGCAGATGAGAGTGTAGAGTCGAATTTAAGCGGAAAACGAAATGTTTACAATGTACTCAATGCCGGGCTGGCACCACGCTGCGCTGAACCACCACGTCCTCCCTTGGTGCGGAATTTCGTGGCAGCTTGCTCGGCAAGGTCAGCACGCTCCTCGGCTTCTTCCAGTTCCTGCTGCGCCTTGCGGAATTTGGCCAGATTCAGAGCGGCAATTTCTTCGGCTTCCTCAATCTGCCTCTTGTAAGTCTTGATCTTCTGCTGCAGCTTGTCGACGAGGTCCTGCATGCGTTCGTGATTCTTGCGGTCCTCCTCGGACTGGAAGGTCAGTTCCTTAATGCGACGTTCGGATTTACGCAGGTTCTTCTGGGCATCGGCGTGTCTTCTCTGTTCGTTATCCAGTTCAGATTCCAATTCGCGGACTCGCTGTTCCAGTTTCTGGATGGCTTTCTTGCCTCCCTTCAGGGCGTTGGTTTCGGCTTCATCTATGCGGACCTGGAGTTCCTTGATTTGCTGCTCCAGCGCCTTGCGCAGCTTCTCTTGGGTTTGTGCATGGTCCTGTTCGGCACGGAGTTCATCAGCTAGACGGGCTGCATCAACCATTGCCTTCTTGGCTTTTTCTTCGGAATTTTTCGCTTCGTTCAGCAACTCGTCCAGATCGGAGTGCAGGGTCTGCAGTTCAGACTCGAGCTTCCTCTTCGCTGCGGCAATGGAGGCGTTCTGTGCGGAAACTTCATTGAGCTGTTCATGAGCGTCGCTCAGCTCCTGTTCAGCCTGGCGACGGCCACGGTCAGCCTGTTCCAGCAGGGTGCGCGATTCCTCCAGTTCGTTCTGCAGAGCGTTGGCACGGCGTTCAGAAATTCCAAGCTGCTCTCGGGCATCATCACGTGCACGTTGTTCCTCCTCCAGTGCGGTTTGACAATCCTTCAGCTGTTGCTGGTAGCGCTTGATGTTCTTCTGCGCTTCGGCGTTTGCCTAAGAAAGGAAATTCAAATAAAAAAATAATAATCTTCGTTTCACATACTACTGAAAATCCCAAATTACCTTGTTAGCATGATCCAGGGCAATCTCAAGCTCGTTAATGTCCGCTTCCAACTTCTTCTTCATGCGCAGGGCCTCAGCCTTACCCTTGGCTTCGGCTTCCAGAGAGGCTTGCATTGAGTCCAATGCACGTTGGTGATTCTTGCGAGTGTTTTCGAATTCCTCTTCCTTCTCCTGGATGCGACGGTCAATTTCCTGTCGGACCTGAGACAACTCCAGCTGAGCACGCAGCACTTTGTTCTCCTCCTGTTCCAGAGCAGCTTCAGCTTCCTCAAGTGCGGCTTGCAGTTCATCCTTTTCAGCCTCCAGACGCTTACGAGACTTTTCGATTTCGTGAATGTTGCGACCACCTTCGCCGATCTGGTCCAACAGATCTTTGACTTCATCAGCCAAATTCTTGTTCTCACGACGGACTGCTTCAAGCTGTTCCTGACCTTCTTCGTAGGCACCCTTGAGTCGGAATAGTTCGGTGGAGTAGTTACGGCATTCCTTCTGCGAGGCATCCAGTTCGGCAGCCAGATCGTCGACCTTGAGCTTCCATTCTCCAATGATCTTGTCAAAGGCCTTCTGCTTCTTCTCGGCAGCGTTGGCAATGGAGGTAGCACGATCAACCTCCAGCTGCAGATCCTCGACTTCGGTAGCCAATCGCTGCTTGGTCTTCTCCAGAGCAATACATTTCTGGTTGAGCGACTCGATGGTTTCTTCGGCTTCGGCAAGACGTGCCTGGAGCTTCCTCTTGGCTTCTTCAAGTTCTTCAGCACGGGCAACACCCTCGGATTCGTACTTGCTGCGCCACAGTTGAGCTTCAGCGTTGGCCTTGCTTAGCTGGCGCTGGATGTCTCCCTTGCCTTCGGCTTCCTCCTCAACTTGCTCGCGCAGGTTGTCAAGATCGTGTTCCAGGTTGCGGAACTTGCCGAGAAGGGTTGCTCGTTCTCGAGCTTCCTCGTCGGCGAGACGTTTGGTATCCTCCAGTTGCTGAGAGAGTGAGATCTTAATTTTGCTTAGCTGCGAAACTTGGGACTCGGCATCCTCCAGCTGACGCAACAGGTCAGAGTTCTCAATGGACAGCTTCTTCTTGGCGGCATCAAAGTCGTTCAGAGTGCGGTTGGTTTCGTCCAGCTTGCCTTGCACTTCGTTCAGCGTATGCTGCAGCTGCTTGGCAATCTTCTCTTGGGCGGCCTGGAATGTAAAGAAGTTAGGATTAGAGATACGTTAGTTTTGGCTACCGCGGTACGTTACCTTATCGCGGGATAGTTGATCACAGGCCGAGCGAGTGTTGTTCAGTTCATTGTACATGTTTGCTCGATCGTGTTCAGCCCTAGTGGATGAAAAAATGAGGTTAGAAAACTCCTTTGCCAAAAGTTTTAAGCATTTCGGTCAATACATACTTTGTTTTGAGTTTGTTGAGCTGATCAACCTGTTCTGCCATTTCAGCAACGGCATCATTGTGTTTCTTGCGCAGGTTAGCCAGCGTGCCTTCATGCTGTATGTTGGCTTCCTCCAAATCTCGGCGCAGTTTAGCAAGTTCAGCTTCACGCTTCTTGTTCAGTTCAATCTGAGCAGAGGTGGCACCACCGGCTTCTTCTAGGCGTTCTCCCAGCTCCTCGAGTTCACGAGCCAAATCGGCGCGCTGCTTCTCAGCCTTGGCACGAGCTTGACGTTCGGCTTCGACTTCCTCCTCCAATTCCTCAATGCGACCTTGCAGTTCCTTGATCTGCTTCTGCAGCTTGCCGACCAGGTTCTGTTCATCCTCCAGCTTGGCGGACATTGCAGAGATTTCCTTATCCTTTCGCATGATGGTCTGCTCCAGTTCCTTCTTGCAACGCTCCAGGTCGGAGACGGCTTCCTGAGTCAGCTTCAGGTCACCCTCGACCTTGCGCTTGGCCTTATCAACATCACCGCGCAGCTTCTTCTCGCGTTCCAGAGAGTCCTCCAGTTCATCAAGAGTTTGCTCGAGCTTGGCCTTAACCTTGTTCAGATGGTTCACCTTATCCTCGGCTGCCTGCAATTCTTCGGCTGTCTTCTGGTTGACTTCACCCTGCATCTTCTTTTCCTTGTTCAACTTGTTGATCAGTTCATCCTGGTGGGCAATCTCATCGTTCAAGTTGCGGATCTGGTGATCCTTGGACGCCTTGTCCTGTTCGATCTTCTGAATCTGCAGTTCCAGATCCTCAGCATCCTTCTTCTGTCCGGAAATCTCTTGTTCTAACTTCTTCTTGGTCTGGAACAGTTGATTACGGGCATCTTCCTCCTGAGCCAAGCGTTCCTGAGTGTCACGTAGTTGGTTTTCGAGATCGTTCTTCTGGGCAGTCAACTTGGCAGCTTTCTCCTGGTATTCTTGGAGAGCTCCCTTCTCGCCGGACAACGAATCCAACAGGGCGGTCTTTTCGGCCAACAGCTTACTGTTCATGGATTCCAGTTCCTTGCGCATCTTCTCTTCCCGCTCCAAGGCTTCCGTAGCCTTCGTGGCCTTCTCTTCCAGTTTCTGTAGGTTGAATTATGGAGTGAGAGCATGTAACAGTATTGATCATAATTAATTTTTTAGATATTCCAAAGATGTCATACTTACAGCGATCTGGTCCTCAACACGGGAAACGTTAAGCAGCGGCTTGACCTTCTGCCACAGCTTCCACCAGGCCCAGGTACGGAGCTTCAGGTACTTACGCAGATTGCGCTGAACAATTTCCAGGGCCTTGCGCTGCTCCTGCATCTTGGTGAACTCCTTGCGGACCAAGTAGCCACGGCACCAAGACTGCAACCAGGACATGATCTTGGACAGACGCTGGTCACGGAAATCCTCCATCGTACCCAGGACACCGGCACGGAAGAAGACCTGTTCAGGAGGCAACGGAATACATTGGGCACCAGCGACCAGGGTGCAAAACGGCGAGGGAAAGGTGAAATTTTCGGTTACATTCATTTTCGCAACAGAATTTCTACGTGAAGACATGGATATGGTAACAACATTTAATAGGAGCGAAATACATGGGCAAACATTTTGGCGAGACATAAAGGGAGTGTGTATGAATTTCGAGATATATACATTCGTTTTCCATGCAGAAGTCTCCTGTGAACTTTCTAACTGGAAACGTTATTCCTGCCGCTTAATTCAAATCTTCAGGTAGTGTCCAAAATGTCCAGAACTCTTGTGTTTGATTGAATTGATTTTCTCGTCTTTTTCAACTTATTCTTGTGTCATAAGGGCCGCTTGCGTGTGTCGGTCTCAGATATTGAACATTAAGGTGTTTCGCTGAGAGATCCTGTTTTTCGTAACCACGTCGAAACTTTAAGTGCACAAATATCAGCTTGCTAGAATCGTACCACATTTAAACTATTATTTCACGTTTGCTGTACTGCAACATACATGAAGTGGCAATTTCAGGTGAAATGGGGCATACATTTCCGAGATTTGTGTAATTGAAAATTCGAGGTGGAAGGGCATGTATAGCCTACGTGGCGGTCATTTTTGGCTCTACTAGGAATCACCTTAACAGGTGGATGTAAAATAAACGGTAATCCATTGCAAGCTTCAACTTATTGGCAGTGTGAATGATGTTTTTTCCTGTTTGTTGAGAGTTACTTCACCCTTAAACTCCAAACTCATTTGAATGTATGGATTATTGTATTGTATTTACCGTAAGCTCTCAGCATCTTTAGTTTTCCATCAATCTATTATCGGCAATGTCTCATAATTGTTATCTGTCGCATTTTTATGTTTGAAGAGTTGCCCTTCATGTTGTAAAGTGCAGCTACAGGTTCCTCGCACAGATTCAGATATTGTGCAGTGCTGCTCCTAGAAACGAACGGACAGCGAAAACTCCGGAAAGACCCCGAGTCCCGTGAGTTGGTAAGATTTTCATGTGCTGTTGAACTTCACAGAAGGACGATCACAACTGATATTGGACGATCACAAGTGAAGGACGAATACAGTCGGTGTTGGACGATCACAATAGACGCCACACGGGTGGAAAGGTTGGTCAACTATGCATTCAAATCCAGACGTGATTCATGATGAACCATCGGGACTGGTAGCAGGACAAAGACGACACGGTTCGGGATACAAAGAAAAAAAGGTGCAAAATGCTCGCCTTGGTGTGACCAATACGGTAGGAGTCAGGATCCAGCTGAATAGCTTCGAAACACTTCTCGGCGGCCTTCTTTGGTTCCGCTTCGGCCTCCATGGCAGCTGGTGCTAAGATGAGATAGCTGAAAATCAAATCGAAGTTCGCAATCATCAAAAAAAAACTTCACTAATAGTAGAATATCGACCTACCGCTGCTTGAAGTCAGGGTACATCATTCGATTGGGGAAACCTTTACGGCAAATACGGATACCCTCAAGCACACCGTTACAGGTCAGTTGGTGCATGACCAAGTGGGCATCGATGAGACCGGTCTGCTTAAGTTCATTAGGAATGATACAACGGACAAAGTGAGGCGAAGTCGACTGTAGAGTGTGCATCAGGTTGTTCAACTGTTCCTTGTAAGATGAAGAGACAGTGGCGAAACCAGCTCCCTTCTTGCCACGTCCACCCTTGCCGGCTGGCTCGCCGGACTGTCCTGGATGGTCAGCAAAGATCTCTACCACCAGCGCGTTCGTGCCCTTCTTGAACTGATCGACGACGGTGTCGTTCAGAGGATCCTTGTTCTTCTCCAGCCAACCAGTGATATTGTACGTGACGACACCAGCGTAGTGACCGATGGCAAAATGACCAGCTGGGATACCTGGTTTCGTGGGTCTTGGCTTCATGAATGGGGCAGACTTACCCAAGTGATTTGTCATCAGCTTCTCAGCAAATGTTTGATCGGTTGCCTTGGGGAACATAGATTCTTCCTCCAGAATCGACAGGATTCCCATGGGCTAGAGATAGAACATTTCGATTAATTTGGATCAGCTGATTGACTGTAAACGACTCACAAACCTTTTCAATCAGTTCTACACAGGCTAGCAGATCCATACCGAAATCGATGAAGGCCCAGTTGATACCCTCCTTTTTGTATTCTTCCTGCTCAAGGACGAACATGTGATGGTTGAAGAACTGCTGCAGCTTCTCGTTGGTGAAGTTAATACAGAGCTGCTCAAAACCGTTGTACTAGAGAAAATTTAACGTTTACTTCAGGTCAATTGCACTCCAACTAAAAAGAACCCCATTGCAAACTTACGTCGAAAATTTCGAAACCAGCAATATCCAGCACACCGATGAACTGAGCACGCTTCTGCTTGGTATCCAGCGTTTCGTTACACTTTTTAACCAGCCACTTGAAGAGACGATCGAAGATACCCTTGCAGAGGGCACCGACGGCATTGGTGACCTGGTCCTTGTTCTGACCCTTGGTGACGAACTCGGCGCCGACCTTGATACGTGGCTTCAGCAAGTTCTTGTACAGATCCTCAGTGACGCAACCCAACAGCTTGGCGACACGGTCACCTTCCTCCGTTCCGTCGGCCTCGGCTTGCTCTTCGCGACCCTTCTGCTTGAACTTCATGCCACCCATATGCATGACAGAGGACGTAATTCGGTAGATGTTGTCCTTCTCATCCTGGGTGAAGCCCAAGATATCGAAAGCTTCCTAGTAATGCCGAGAATGAAAAAAAAAAAAACAGTAGCAGATATGTTCGTTTTAGGATGTCATACGACTTACATCAGTCAGCCTACATTCTTCACCGTCATCGACGTTGGGAATGGTGACTTTTCCCTGGGAGACATTGAAGTAGTCGTAGATATCGTTGGACAGGAAGCACATTTCTGTAGGTGAGTAAAAATCGATGGTCATAATATTTGAACTCCAAATGTTGCTCCTTGAGGGAAGGCGCTAGCCTCACCCAGGCCTGTAGCTACAGGCGAAGTACTTACCTTTCAGCCCCTTGACAGAGCCGGACATCATCTGGTAGAAGATGTGGTACGAGCGCTCCAAGGTCTGCTGGGAAATGACACGAGCTTTCTCCAGCAGATAGGTCTCAATATCAGCACCACCCAGCTTACCGGATGCGGTAAAGTGAATACGGATGAATTTACCCTATATAGTGTTGGAAGGAAACGGTCAGAGTTCCTCATGATTGTGCTGAATTTTCACGAACAACTTACGAAACGGGAAGAGTTATCGTTACGGACGGTCTTGGCGTTACCATAGGCTTCGAGTACGGGATTGGTCTGGACGACTTGATCTTCCAGGGAGGGTTTGTTTTCGACTTCCTTCTTGCTCGAGGCACCAATGGTGGCAAAGTACGCAATGACTTTCTTAGTGTTCTCAGTCTTTCCGGCACCAGATTCACCGGTAATCAGCATAGACTGGTTATCCTTGTTAGTTAACATGTTGACGTAAGCACCGTCAGAGATGGCGAACAGATGTGGTGGAATTTCATTACGACGCTTGCCACGGTACATCTTGGCAACTCGCATGGTGTACAGCGGCCAACGTTTGTAAGGGTTGATGACAATACAGAACAAGCCGGAGTAGGTCTGTTTGTGTGTTGTAAAGAAACATTAGAGCGGAATTTGATGATGAAAACGGGTACATACATAGATGAGCCTGGCCCTGTATCGCTCTCTCAAGTTATGCAAGACAGAGGCATCGTTAAGATATGTCAAGTTGGACATATCCTCGCATTTTTCGTACTTTGGTGGATTGACCTGACCAACCAGATCCTTCTTGAAGTCCTTAGTCTGAGAAAAGGAATAAAAATGAGTCTCCCCTTCGGCAACCGTTGGAAACATCGTGCATTACCTCTCCATTGGGCAAGGAAACGGTGACCAATTCACCCTTGGTGGCCTTGATTTCACCCTGCACGTAACCTTCCGTTTCATCTGGAACCCAGCAGGCTTTCTTCGCGTCGTAAGGCTTGCTCTGATCGATACGCTTCATCTCCTCCGAAATGTACAGCCATTCGGAGGGATCGGGATCACCTCCGACCTGAACGACTGGCTTCGGCATCTTGGGGCTTGGTTTAACTTACTTTAGGTCGAGACGGGGGCTGGTGAGAGACACGCTTAAATTGTATTCGTAGATATTCGCTTCAACCCTGAGTAGCGCCCTTCCTGCAATGGTGGGATGAATAAGAATAGTTGAAATATATTTTCAGTCGTGTGACGGTTCAAGCTACTTCAGCAGAGAGTCATTTCAGATCAATTATAGCCAAGCCTTTGATAAGAATAACATCAGCCGTGTTAAGCGATTTCTCTATTTGATTAACTAGCGATTAATGAGCCCTTATCGTAAAGGGTGTCCATGATGAAATTGCCACACACAAAATTGATTCGCAAAATTCGAGTTTTCATCCGATTGCCATCAAATTTTCAGGGATTGAGAAATAACTATTAAACTTCATTTTACCATTTTACTCGTATTTTATTTACAGTCCATACGCAAATGCCCGCACCATGGCCTTAACCCCGGCCATAAGATTCTGCACAACCTGTGAATCAACCGTTTTTTGCATGTAAACCCATACTTTCTTCAGTTCCTCGACTGTCTTCACCACCTTAGGTCGTTTAAGAAGGTGCTGCTTCATAATCGCACAGTACTTCTCGATGGGGCGGAGCTCCGGAGTGTTGGGAGGGTTGAACATTTTCGGCACGAAATTGACCTTATTGTCCGCATACCACTTCAGCACGTCCTTGGAGTAGTGGCATGAGGCCAAATCCGGCCAGAAGATTGTTGGGACGTTGTGGGCCTTCAGGAGAGGAAGCAGCCGCTTCTGGAGGCACTCTTTTATGTACACCTGTCCGTTCATCGTGTCCTGGGTCACGAAAGGTGCACTTCGCTTCCCGAACGTGCAGATGGCTTGCCAAACCAGGAATTTCTTCGCAAATTTGGACATCTTCTGAGTGCGGACATGCTCCGGAACGCTGAACTTATCCTTGGCCGTGAAAAACAGGTTGCCGGGGATCTGTTTGAAGTCGGCCTTCACATATGTTTCGTCGTCCATGATGCAGCATTCAACTTTCGTCAGCATGTTGAGGTACAACTTCCTGGCACGGGTTTTGGCGGACTTGTTCTGCTTCTCGTCGCGATTAGGGGCCTTTTGTACCTTGAACGTTCGAAGCCCAGCCTTAGTTTTGGCCTTCTGGACAAAACTTCGGCTTAGGTGCAGCTTCTTAGCCACATCCCTAACGGAGGCGTTCGGATTTCGGTTGAAGGCCCCAACTACGCGGTTGTGATTTTTGGTGTTGTACGGAATACTTTTTCCTTCACTTCTGGGCTTCCGATCGGTGGTCAACCGTTCCTCGAACCGCTTAATCACTCGCGACACCGTGGAATTCGCGATTCCCAACGTTTTAGCGATGGAACGATGCGAGAGATCCTTGTTCTCGTGATGAATGCGCAAGATTTTATCACGCACGAGCTGTTCTTTCGACTCCATTTCCGCGAGTTTTGATCACAGGACTTTAAAACTTGCAGGATGTAAATAATGCACTATGAACTAAATCCACCCAAATTTTCATTAAATTCTACCCAACGGTTAAAAAGTTAGAGCAATTTCATAGTGTGGCAATTTCATCGTGGACACCCTTTAGATTTACCTGATTGATTAGCAAATTGGAATTTGCTAAGAGGTAACCTCACTAGACGTGTTGTGCAAGCGCCTTACTACAATAGGTAAAGCACTCCATAGCAAATCGATATAGTGGTTCTCAGAATTACGTAAAAATTGGTAGTTTTATTCCTTATCGCAAAATATTAGACCCGTGTTCTGTCATAAGAGTAACCATTTCCATGTTAGGCTGGTCCAAAAATCGTTTTTTCAAAAATGACTTATTTAAAAAATTCATAATTTTTGAACCACTAGGCTGTTTTTAAAGATCAAATCATCAAATGAAAGGTAATTAGGTAATACTTTTACGTGACCATGTAAGAGTCGCTATAAATCGATGGAGACGCATGGTAGTCTAGTCGCATAGGAGTATTGAGCGAAACCCCAAAAAAATATAACTCAAAAACGAAACAAAACCCATCGCTGATTTTGTGATATAATGTGTAAAAAAAAAACCAAAATTTGAAGGAAAATATAAAAACACATTGCGGCCTTTATTAACATTCCATGAAATTTCATGGAATGTTAATAAAGGCCGCAATGTGTTTTTATTTTGGTTTTAGTTTTGGTTTTTTTTTACACATTATATCACAAAATCAGCGATGGGTTTTGTTTCGTTTTTGAGTTAGATTTTTTTGGGGTTTCGTTCAATACTACTATGTGACTAGACTACCATGCGTCTCCATCGATTTATAGCGACTCTTACATGGTCACGTAAAAGTATTACTTAATTACCTTTCATTTGATGATTTGATCTTTAAAAACAGCCCAGTGGTTCAAAAATTATAAATTTTTGAAATAAGTCATTTTTGAAAAAAAACGATTTTTTGGACCACCCTAACATGGAAATGGTTACTCTAATGACAAAATACGGGTCTAATATTTTGCGATAAGGAATAAAACTACCAATTTTTACGTAATTCGGAGAACCACTATATCGTTTTGCTATGGAATGCCTTAGGTGATCATCATCATCAATATCAGGTATTTTCCAAGATCACACATTTGATAAACGTCAAGATTAAGGACCTTGCTTAATTTTCGTGGCTCATGAAACTTGATGATAATTTCTTACGCACTCATTCCAATGGAGTTCTGGGAAGAACTGTGTGTAAAACATCACGAGAAATCTGCTTTTATAGTAGTCCTGAGAAACTCCAGATTCTATGTGAAAACTGAATACCAAGGTAGTTCTGAGCAGAGTTGCGACCTATCACAATCACGATCGCCAAACAGCTGATGGTAGTAACGCTTTGTACATTCCAATCAATGTGCTCGTCGAAGCTCTCTCCATGACCATCTATCATGTTGACGAAAGAAGTAAAAAGCAACTGGTGAATGTCGTCTTCAGCGGTGATCCATTACCGATCTCGTCATTACCGACAATCACGACACTCATATGTGCTCGTTTTGAAACAGTTGCTGCTTTGCTTGCAAATGTGAGTGTGTTGATGAGTGAGCCCAACAGCTTCCGTTTAATATTGCCTGCTTTGTTTGTAACTCACACAGTCGCGTCTGCCGAGACGAACTTGGAATGCGTAGGCATTGTTTTCATTTTCTTCTGTCGTTTCGCTTTTTCTCATGATCGTACTGCAGAAGTCTTCACTGTTTTCGTTGTGCTTTTCATCATCAGCAGCGAGTGTAACGTTTTGCTTGTGAGCAGTGACCATTACTGGTGATTGTTGTTTGCCATGGCTTTAACTCTCACTGCGTGACAAAACGATCTGTCAGCGATAGTCGGTTGATGCGAAGACGAGTGTCACGTGAGTGTCATGATATTTTGCATCACTGGTTCTGAGTAGAATTCTAAGTTATCCCAGAATAGGGTTTGAATGAAGTTTTAGTTGAAGGCTCCAAGGAAATTCGACGAAGAATACCGAAGGAGTTCTGAGTGTAATTTTAAGAAGTTTCACGGAGAAAAATAATCCGGAAAATAACACCATAGAAATTTTCGTATAATACCTCGGGAATATGCTAATATTAGGGTTACAATTAAATCTGAAAAATAATTCCAGGAAAACTTCAAAGGCACTGCGAAAAGAATTCCAAGAGAGTTCAACTTGAATGCCAAATTATATTTAATAAGAAATCTATGAAATTTGATACTTCACTGCAAGCGAATTCTTAGGAAACTTTCAAAGTGCGAATAATTACAAGGGAAGGAGTGAAATTCAAAGGACATTCTGAAGTAATTTCTTACCGACGAGCATTCCAAGGTAATTCAGTGAAAAATTTCATGAGAATTGAATTCAATCAAGGATGATTCCAACGAAATTTCAGCAAAAATTTGCAAGCATGCGCCAGTGATAGTTTTAAGCAATCTCAAAGGAGAGTTCCATGGGAATCCTGAGAAGCATTTTAAAGAATTTATGGGAGTCCTAAGCAGAGCTAAAAGGGGATTCTTACTAAACTTCCATGGGAATTGCTGGAGAATATAAAATGAAGGCTGAGGAGAACTTCAAGCGATTTTTCCGGAGAAATCTCTGGAGAATACCTAGGTTATACTGCATGAATTAATAATTGTTTTAAGTGCATTCTAGATTGAATGCAAAGAGTGTTCTGCAGATGGTTTTCAAGAGTATTATGGAATAAATTATAAAAAAATACCAGAAAGAGGTCTAAGATGAACAGGCATGGAAAATCATTTGCATTCATTTCATACATTCATTTACATTCATTTGCCTCTAACTTTTTTCATCGACAGCATTTTCGCAAAATTATGTATAGAGCTTTTGTATGATTTGTTATTAGCTACAACTTTTGTCAAGAAGTCAAATCCGTATCTCTTATGCATAACGAATCAGAGCGAACAGAAGACACAACTGTTTTTCAGTGAATGTATTTTACATTCACTGAAAAATAATAATAAGTTCTGCCCGCTCTAGTTCGTGATGCATAAGAGATACAGATTTGAGTTATGAGCAAAAGTTGTAGTTAATAACAAAACATACAAAAGCTCTGCACATAATTTTGCGGAATGCTGTTGATGAAAAAAGTTAAAGGCAAATGACTGTAAATGAATGTATGAAATGAATGCAAATGATTTTCCATGCCTGAAGACGAACTCTGAGGGTATTCTGAAATAATTCAAGCAAACTTTAAAGAATATACTGACGATTTCCATGATCATGATGATTTCAACAAAATCTTGCAATCTTGTTCCAGGATTAAGAAAAAATGAATGGATTATTAAGTTTTTAGATTTCATGTTTTGAAAATTTTATGACCATGACATGTTAAAATATCCAAAATTCTGTAACGTGAGAAGGTTTTAAGTTCGAAATTTAACAGAAGTATTCGTAATGCCGAACTTCGGTATATTTGTTAGATTGTGAACTTAAAATAAATCTTTTTTTTTATATAATTCTGGCGTTTTGAAAATTTTCAATCTTGAATCTTGAACTTGAACTAACCATTCGAAATTTTAAGATATTGGAATTTTTTGATCATAGACTTATCAAAATTAAGTAAATATTGAACTTCAACTTTTACTGCTTCA